CTCTTAACTAGCGTTAACCAACATGAGCTAAAATCCTAGGGAAGACAAGACAGTGCTTAGTTTTCACACAAGTTAGCAGGTCCAGGTAAACCCTAGGCTCCCTCATAGTCTTTAATTGGACCTGCTAATTCATAAGAAGACTACAGACTGCCTTGTCTTCTCTAGGATTTCCACTGGAGTTCAGACTATGCCTTTTTTTCCCTAGTGAAAAATCACCGTGTTTGTGTGTGTGATATTCATGCTCCATTCTCAGCCCTGGGGACCAACGACCTCATCTTAACCACAAAGCAGGTACAGCACAACAGCAGCCAGGCAAGCTTGCTCACGAATGTTTTAATGTTGTGGTAAGGAGACCACCCGCTAGGGATCAAAGTCTCATGCCCACTTACTTGTTGCCTGCTTTGCTGAGATTGCCGTGAAGGGAATCAGTTGGTGCCAGTTGTGCTGGTGTTTTTGAGAGGTGCTCACCTGGGAGCTGGGCTGAGACCACTTAGTTATAACTTAGGCAGCAAATATGACTGTTTACTATCTCCAGGGTAGCCAGCTCTTGCAATTTTAGTACGAGTTTCATGGTATTTGATGTGGCGGGCATGGGCGTTCTTGTCTCACTCCCTGTCAGTACCCGGCCTGGGCTGGGGAAGCTAATGATCCAACCAGCAGACCAAATTTAGTGATGAATCCTGATCATGTGCCACCTGAGGCACATTGCACATAGGCTGAGATACTTGGTGTATTTCTTAATGTTCCAGTTCCTGGAAGTTGGTGATTACATGAGAATCCGTTTTCATCTTTAAAAAAGCCAGCCCTCGTGATCGCAAAGAAAAGCTTGAAAATGTGACCAGAGTGTACCTTACGGACTCAGAAACCAGAAGAGAAAGAGTACCCATGATTTTTGGAACGCTTGGGGTTAACATTGCTGTGTGTCTGATCCAGAACGCTCCCCAGTGAAGACAACCATCTTTCTCTGGCTCAAAATCTCCAGGACTCTCCCATTCACACCCGCTAACCAATAGACTGTTGGTTTCAATATGTGTTTGTTTCTCTCTCCTTTCTTTCTTCTCCTCCCCAACCCACTCTATTGCCTGCCATAGAGCCCACTATGGGGATGGGTAGTCTGGTGTAGGGCAGCATTTTTGGGTACGTCTTCACTACCCGTCGTATCGGCGGGTAGCAATCGATTTATCCGGGATCGATATATCGCGTCTCGTTAAGACGCGATATATCGATCCCCGAACGTGCTCACCGTCGACTCCGGAACTCCACCAGGGTGAGCGGCGGTAGCGCAGTCGACGGGGGAGCCGCGGCCATCGATCCCGCGCCGTGTGGACCCCAAGTAATTCGATCCAAGATACTTCTACTTCAGCTACGCTATTCGCTGATGATGATTTTCACGCCACCTTGAACTTCACTGGTAGACAGAAGCAGCACTGTTGGGCATAGTGGGAGAAACTCAAGAGCTGAAGCTGACCCCTTTATATATGGTCCTGCCAAGTCTCCTGTCTCAAATAGGAGTGTCTTGCATTAGGGGGTGTACTCATGTCCCTACCACACGAGCCCAGGATGGCCAGCAGAGAGCTCCTTGCTGTGACTGATCCCTGGCCAGGTCTCTTAGGCAGGAGTAGGGAAAGCAGTCTTGGAGGCACTGAGGGAGAAGTGGGGGGAAAAAGATGGACAGGAATCACTGGATTGGAGGCTGAAAGGGGTGCGAAGGTGGGAACAGGGACAGGGGAAAGGAAAGCCCCCAGCCCTGCCATCTGTACCTAGTTAGTATCCTCAGAGAATCTTTCTCGGCTCTGATTTCTCGGCATAGACCCCCACACTAGGGCACGGGGAGGGTTTATAAGCATGTTATGTGCTGGCTTTCGAGGTTGCAGTTGTCGGTATGATCCCTCATCAAGGGCTGCTGGATAATCCAGGACTTAAAGGGAGCTGTCATGTGGGTCCCAGCAGAGCTGGCCACAGTCCACTGATGAACGAGTGCCAATGCTCTGCGTGTGTTGGCTTCTGCCTCTGTCCTGAGGGCTTGTGTGAATGAGATGCCTGCAGATGGGCATTTCTGCTCCTGTTCCACCAACAGCTGTAGTTCAAATGGGCCTTTGTGGCCAGGTGAGTGACTGTGGACGGTGGCTGCAAGCGGAGCTTGGGCAGATTTTCAGCTTCATCTTTAAGGCAGCTTTTCCTGGGGGCCCTAAGGCATCTGTGTCTTGCAATGAGGTTGTGTTGCAGAAAGTGGTGTTGGGCATGTGCAGAGCAGCGAGAAGCCTTTTCCCCTCTACTTGCTTCCAATGGCATTTCTACTGCCCAAGAGAGCTGAAGTGAGTGCAGGGTCCGTAAACACAGGGTGAGTAGGAGAACCCTGTATACCACCCTCCTCCCCCCAACCCCCACCAACTCCTTGAGACTTAGTGATCCACAGGCCTGCAAAAAGGCTGTTGCCACTCAGGGTCACCCTGTTTGTTCAGTGGATTTCACTCGAAAGGATCGGAGAGGGCTACAGAACATGCTTCCCCTAAATGTGGTTAGTTGGGGTTTACTCTCTGTCTGAGGGTCTGTCGTATCTGGGCTGGGGGCAGGGCCTTTTTGGCTCAAGAATATCCTCCTTAAGCAAGTCCATTGGCTGCCCTGAATGCTCTATAAGGCTTTTCTACACAGGTCAGTTAATCTCAGACCCTCCTGTATCCCCTTTCCATTGGCTCTTCCTTGGAGCTGTTTTTCTGAATCTTCCATCCCCTAGTCTGTTGCTGTCACTCAGCCATTGGATTGATTTATTTTAATTGCAGCTTTCCGTATTTGTTTATAGAGTAGCCATCTGAGGTGGGCAATCAAAGGGGAGAAGGAAGATTGACAGTCCCTGCTGGGGCTGTCAGATTGGCATTTAGCAGCAGACCAAGCCCCTACCCCTTTCTTTGAGTTGAATATCTGGCCCAACCATCTTGCCCACCTCCCAGAAGAAGGGCAGGGCAGATAGGTACTTTACCTTGTTTTGTAGTCCCAATGGCCAGTGAATGTTTCTTGAGTTTAATCATTCAAGCGCCTGTCCTGCATGCTTGGCTAGCTGTAGCTGCACAGACGCAGTGGTGCTGAGTGAGATATAAGCACCCAGATAATATTTATAGGCAGAGCCAGGCATCTGTGTAACTCAAAGCAGATTTGAGTATCCACCGGGCACCAGGACAGAAGTCCTATTGATAAAATACAGAAAAGGACAGAGATTGGAGGCTGAGAGCAGATTCCACACAGCAGAAGGAGGGGAAGTTTCTCATAGCAGCTGGAGCTCCTGTGTTTTTTCTGAGTTCCAAACCTGTGATGTGCTTGCGTGCCCTGCTGCTGCGGACGTATTGGACAAGCGTCAAAGGAGAATTCCATCTGTCTGCCTCCCTGGGTACAGATCGCCTGTCTTGGGAGTCTTATTTTATCCCACAGGGTCAACATGTAGCAGCCACTCACCTGTCACACAAGTGTTTACTGCAGTGCGCCATGGGGAGCTCTTCCCAAGGCGCTGTCCATTGGCGACACTGCCGTTGCGTGGCATAACTAGAGACTGCTATTCTTGATTGGGTAGCAGCTGGCCCTGTCGCTCTAGACAGCTGTTGTACACGGTCACTGATTGGCTGTTGGCTTGAACAGCTGTCCCTTCGCTCCCAGACCTGGTTGGCTGGCTTTAATAAACCCAAACAGATTAACTCTGTTCTTTGAACTACAGTGAAACTTGTTCCTTGGCTCGGTTCCTGGTTGAAGACCAAATCAGCAAGTTTTACCCGAGAGATCCTACAGGTCCAAACGTGGAGACTTTAAGCAAAGCCTTTGTCGTGGTCTTCTCCAGTCAGGCTGCACCATGAAGGAGGCTAAACTTGTTGAGATTCCTATTTTATCAAGATTGTTTTAAAATAGGGGGACTGGAAGGCTCAAGGGATTGGGGTTGCAGAACCTGTCCTCTTGAGGTTGATGGTTCAAACCCAGGCACAGAAAGATGGGGATTGGAAGTTGTTTCCCTCTGACAATCGGTGGCTTACGTGACAGTCTAGTAGTTCCCAGTGGGCAGGAATCCATATCTCAAAAATCTCACTACTGCATTTTTATTGGCAGAGAGACCACAAGTTGAATAGGGCACAGAGAATTAACTCCCCTCTTGCCTCTAAAGGAGATGTTGACAAAGGAGCATTGTGAGGGGGAAGGCCCCCCGCCCAGTGCTTTAGATCTGTCTTGTGGGTGGATGATTTTACTCTCCAGGGCTGCCAATCTAGCACCTTGCCTGACAGTCTAATTAGCTGTTCCCTGTTTATGACGATGAATTCCTTGCTGCAGCTCTCTGCTTGCACGATGACAGTAGACTAGTCAGTTTTGTTCTGTTTAGTCTCACTGATTCTCATGCACTAGCCCAGTGTAGTGGGTTTGGATTGTCAATACAGAGGTCTGGTAAATAGTTGGCTTTTGAGCAAAAATTGCCTTCTCTGACATTAGAAAAGACCTATTAATCCTTCAGTCCTCCTTGCCCATCCGTTTGCCTAGTGCTGTGTAAAAAGCTTCTGTTTACAATGGCTGAACTTGGGGCCAAATGTGATCTACCTGTGTCCTTTTAATGTGAGGTGCCCCAAGCAGTTTGGGCACACAGTGATTATCAGCCAGTCTCTCATATTTCTGATGTTCCCACATGTGGCCTGATAGAACGTGATGGTCACGGCCGCTTCCAATATCACCCAGGCTTCCCTTTCCTGTGGAAACTGGAGCACAGACGCGAACGTGTGCCAGGACTCTGTAGCCGAGGCAGGTACTGTCGTGCACCCTCCAGTTGCGTTGATGCTAGCCACGCTGGGGATGGCACATGAGAGGCAGTTCTGGGGGTGCAGAACTAGCAGAGCGGGATTCCCTTGCTCCAAAGCATCGAGGCACTCGATTTTTCTCAATAAAACGGCTGCACTTTCCCAGAGGCTGCTGCCCTGTTTCCTTCTAGCTTGCCGGCCCAGCTCAGTTTGACACCCTTCTGTTTCTATCTCTAACAGGAAGAAGCCCACACACATGACTGTGAACTGCTGGTTCTGTAACCAGGACACGGTGGTGCCGTACGGGAATCGCAACTGCTGGGACTGTCCCTACTGTGAACAATACAATGGCTTCCAAGAGGTACCGTAGGGGCTGCCTGGCCAGAAGGCTGCTGGGAGGGGTTGTGCCCTGTGGGAGCAGCAATTGCAGGGAAATCCCTGCTCAGTCCCTTATGACGGAGCATGCTCAGTGCAGATGAAATCTGCAGAGAATTTAGCTGCCATACACTAACAAGTCTCTACTGTGCATGTGTAAACTGAGATTTTTCAACAGTTTATAATTTGGTCAAGTATGAGTGAATTTCATGGGTACAGCGAAAGGGAGACCCCGTTAAATTTCAAACCCTTGCTCCAAAGCATCGAGGCACTAGATTTTTCTCAATAAAACGGCTGTAGGAATTTTTTGACATGGATAAAATGATTTTTCCCCCCCTAACCTTGTTCTCCGAAATGTCTGAATCTTTCTAGCTGTTTTGTTAAAAATAAGTAAATTCAGCCAGGGTTAGGCACCCAGCTTGGGAAACTTCAGCCCGAATGGTGAGAGTTTGCAGGAGGGTATGTCTACCCAGGAGCGGGGAGGTATAAGTCCCGGTGCTGGTAGACACATACGCGCTAGCAGTGTGGCTGCTGCTTCTCAGGTGTGTACCCAGGGGGTTGGGTAGGATTGAACTTGGCCGGCTAGCCCAAGCCACTGCCTGTGATGCCATGGCCATGCTGGTGTTTTTAGGCACTCGCTCGACCTGAGCTAGCGCATGTGCCTACCTGCGCTGGGGATTACACCTCCCTGCTGCTGGGTAGACATACCCGGCGTAATAAGCAACAGAAAATGGCCTTATCGTAGCCTTAACTGCAGGGCCTTCTAGCCAAGGCTCTCAACGAGTCTCTCTTTACAGAGAGAGATTAAATCCCACCCTCCACTCTGTCGGTAGCGTTGTGCCCAGTTTTCAGGTGGGGAAACTGAGGCACAAAGGGTTTGCTCCAGGTCACACGCTGGGGCTTTGACAAAGCCAGGAATAGAACCTCAGTTTCCTGATCTCCAGTCCCACACTACCATCTTTCCCCTGGCTTTGTGTCCCCAGCCAGGATTTCCTTAAAGTCTGACCTTGAGGCACTTTGACTCCCTTCCTGCCCTTCCATATACTCCCTTCCCTTAAAGCCATTCCCGTACAATTAGCTCATCAAACATATGGCAAAAGAAGCCATCTCTGCGGCATCTTCTTCTCCTTCCAAACCTCTCCCACTTCTGAGGTGTGCACACTTTGTTATAGGTTGACTGGCCCTAAAATTTTGGTAGAAACCCTGCCCAGATGTTAGTCTGTGGCCTGCACATCTGCATCCTGGGTTATAGCCTAATGCTGTTCTCTGTGCCGTGGGAGGGCTTGTCTACACTACCGCGTGGGGTTGATTTAAGATACGCAACTTCAGCTACGTGAATAGCATAGCTGAAGTCGACGTACTTAGATCTACTTATCACGGTGTCTTCACTGCGGTAAGTTGACAGCTGACGTTCTCCCGTCGACTTCGCTTGCGCTTCTCATTCTGGTGGAATACCGGAGTCGACAGGAGAGCGCTCAGCAGTCGATTTATCGCGTCTATACTAGATCCGATAAATTGATCCCCGCTGGATTGATCACTGCCTGCCGATCCAGCACATAGTGTAGACAAGCCTGGAGACTCGTCTTCTGGATTGAACCTCGTTATTTGCCAGCTGAGGGTGGGTGGATGCTGGGCTGCTGTAGACTGGAGGGTTGAGAGGTGCTGGGCTAATATGTTTGTCACAGGATATGCAGTGGCATTTGCAGAGCGATTTTTGTGTGGGCGTGGGCGCTCGGTAACCTTTAGCTGCTTATGGGCGTTTTTGATAGGGCCCTTCTGTCCCCCGCTGCGGCTCCTGGGCGGGTTAGTGCAATGTGGGGTACGGTGCTGATTTTGCACCCCTGAGTGGTGTGTACACTAGACCATCCATGGCCCAGGAGCATGCACGAATCCCTGCAGCACGGCCTGTAAAACAGCTGGGAGTGGCGTACAGAACAGGGGGAAGAGCAATGGATCTTACTCTGGTTTTATTTCCTCCTCGTCGTATGGGGCAGGGCACTGACAGTGGAACTCCTGCAGAGGGTGGACTCACGAGCTCATGCTTTTCTTTGCTGCTTGGCAGAACGGCGACTACAACAAGCCCATTCCTGCCCAGTACATGGAGCACCTAAACCACGTCGTGTCAGGCGCCACCACCTTTTGCGACCCCACCAAGCCACAGCAGTGGGTGAGCAGCCAGATCTTGCTGTGCAAGAAATGCAACAACCACCAGACCATGAAGATCAAGCAGCTGGCGTCCTTCGCACCCAGGGAGGAGGTAGGTGCTGGCTTGGACAGACTCTATCCTGTTAGGGTAAAGATAACATCCCCAGGTCTACCCATGAAGGCATCTTATGTTCCCATTCTATTTCAGTGGAGGAACAACAGCCTTTGATCCTGATCTACCGTTTCGATAAGCTCTGGGTAATTGTAAGACGATTGAACTACCAAGACCCTTTCTGTCTGCCCACACAGCCCCCTCCTGTGTCTCCAGAGAGTGATGTGTGCTTCGGAGCTGGAGGGCAAATCTGTTAATTTGATCCCTAAGCAGGGCATTCAGCAATTCCACTGGAGCAGCCTCCAAATTGCCCTCCTGCTGTCCCTGCCCTGGATTCCTCCATGGAGTGCATCTTCCAGACAGCAGGGCTGTGTCTTGTCTCCTCCCTTCCCTGCAGGTAGCTCATCCCCTGCTCATTCTAACTCTGAGCGCAGCCCGCCTGTCTGTGTGTGAAGTGCCTGCCCCAGTTATCTGGGAGGCCATGGCAACTGCACGATGATGCAGACAGGGAATTACTCTGTCCCACCTACACAAAGAGCTTTTTGTCCAGGGCCTTAAGAAAACAGAGTGCTCCGAGCTGATGGCAGAATCCTGGATGAACTCTGAGCAAGAGGTCCCTGAGGTAGTGCAGCCCTCGGAGTCTGTCTTGGGGAGGAATTTCCCCGATGTTAAACTCAGCCCCGCTTTATATCTTCACCTCCCTTATTATTCAGAGTCCAGACTGTTGGGTCCCCTCTGCAAATACAGCGTGGTTTCCCTGTTGTCTGTTTCGTAGAGTATTGTCCTGTTTGGTTTGAAATGAGGCAAACCAGGATACTTCTATCACTTCCCTATGGAAACTGTGCCACAGCCTGGAACAATGCTTCTAAACCTTTCCCGGACCAGAACCCCACTGACCCAATTAGCAATATGGAATGGGCCGAGGCCTAATAGATCTAATTGTTTACACGGGTGGTGGTGGGGGGGGTGTTCTTTCTTTTCCCCCCAATCTTCAGCCAGAGTCTCTGAATTTTAGCCCATTGCCTCTAGATTATACCCCCGTTCGTTAGGTCAGTTCCTCTCCCTTCTCGGCACGTTACTGGGCTGGTTATGTCTCTCCCCTCACCCTTAGCTATCACTTAGCCAAATGGTTTTTGTATTCTTTTAATCTTTCCTTGAGTGAATGCTTCCAGCCTTCCAATGATTTCTGCAGCTCTTTGAACTCCCTCCCTTTAATACTTTGCACAAGTAGCCTTTTGTGTAAGGCTTTACAAATGACAGCAGGCCCCAGGAGGTTGGTAATGGGGGGAGAGGGATTCTCCGCTCAGCTGGAGGGTGAAATGCTGCATCCAGGGCTGCACAGCAACATTGTGCAAACCGTTCAGGAGGGGGAGTGAAGAAGACTCTCCATTCTGATTGGAATTGGTGAGGGGGATTGTAAACGGGAAGAATTGAATTAGCGGAGTTAGAATATGGCCAGGAAACTGGAGCCACCTTCCCCTAACCTTGCAAAGGTTGTTGTGGGATCGCTAACCTGCCAAACAGCACCATGTCAGTCACGGGGGGAAGAGCGCCACCTACGGAACAGCCAACATAACTTCTTGCCAATAGGCTGGATTTCCTTGGGAGGTTTCCCATCTAGATACTGGCCGGACCTCGCCCTGCTTAAATTTGTGGGATGTGGTGGGCAGAACAACGCCGTGGTAGTTCTCAAGCGCACTGTCCTTTTCTACAGGGCCTCAGCTGAGCTGATCCTGCTACTGAGGTTAAAAAGAACAATGCAGTCCAGCTGACATTTCTCCTGGGAGTAGTAGGTTCATCTTTGTGTCTGGGTGGGACAATGAGGCTGCAGCTCTAGGAAGCTCTGCTGCTGATTGACATCAGTGCTGTCTACCCAATGGAGTGCGGGGTGGTGGTCCGCTCTGGTGTGGGCTTCTCCCCCACAGCTTCTTATTTTAACTCTGTTCCTGCAAAGTATTTAGGGCAGTAGGCCTCATCCTGTTCCATGCCATGAGCCCCCTTATTACAGCAGAGAAGTTCCGGGCCCCTGGGTTGCAACCCCAGGATCTAGTGGGTTAGTTTTACTCTGCAGGCTTTTTCTTATCCAATCTATTCCATGTAATTGGAGCCTGCTTAATCAGGATGCCTCCCGGGGAGCCGATTTGAACCCATGGATTGTGATTAAGGAGGATGCCTTCTGGCAGTTTCATGGTGTTTGGGTTTCTCTTGTGTCTCTGTCTCATGCTGATTCTGTCCACTTGCTCCTGAAACAGCAGTTTTCGCTTCCTCTGTGGTTGATTCACCTCTGCCTGACAATTTGCTGGTTCCACACTGGCTAGACATGTGGGGTCAGCATATAAACTGCTGGCTCAGTCTTTATTCCTGTGCAAGCCGTGTCTCTTCCCTGCAAAGAGGGGCTGTGCGGTAATGTGATGAGCCCGCTGCAGCTGAGCAGCTCCTCAGAGTGTCTCTTGGTGGGAGCCCAAAGCATCTCAGTCCAGACGGTTGTGGCCCATGGTGATGATGCGTGGCAGTTCCATGGCGTTTTTCATCTGGCCATTACAAATTGCTTTACAAAGGCTATGGAGGTATCGTTCTCACCTGTCTTTTAAACAGAGAGGTGAAGTGACTTGCCTGAGGCCGAGTAGCATGTTAGTGGCAGAGGCAGGGAGAGAATGTGGGTTTCCTGGCTGCCCTTCTGGACGGTGCTGCCTTCTGTAGAGATGCCTGGTCACTTGGCCCTCCCAAGAGCTTTGTCAGTGCAGTAACATTGTGAGCTCGAGAGCTTTCTTGTGCCCTCTAGCCTGATGCTCAAATCCTCAAGACCTCCCACAGTTCATGCCTGTGCGATGACTCTCTTCCAGAACACTGTTCCTCTCCAGCTTAGAGAAGAGAGGCAGGGTCCGAAGGTGGCTGCCAAATTCCAGCCCCGTCCCTTGGGTTCCCACGCCTGCAGAGCACTCTCATCTTATATAATTCTAGGCTGACCAGATAGCAAATATCAAAAATCGGGACAGGAGGTGGGGGGTAACAGGTGCCTATGTGAGAAAAAGACCCAAAAATCGGGACTGTCCCTATAAAATCGGGACATCTGGTCACCCTATGTAATTCTAGCTATGTGCCAGCAGAGGGAGCTCTTGGCACAGCGCTCCAGCAAGCAGGCCCTTGACAGCCAGGGAGATGCACCTTTCCTCCCTTACCCCCTGGATAAAGCTGCCTGTGTCTGGCACAGTAATAAACACCTGCTCTGACCCGACTGAACAGTAAACTGCAGCAGTTGGCAGCCTCATGGCTGTGCGAACAAGGAGCATTAAACCTTCCACGCAGCCTCATCCTGGCCATGGGCCATTTGCAGTGAAGTCTGCAGGGCGCGTGGTGCACCTGGGTTTCAAGTGCTCGGGCAGCTGTGCCTGGGGACGAAGCCATCAAATAGGGGTAGGGAGGAATCTGGAATGTTTCCCATCTTTGCTGAAGACGTTAATGAGACAGAACTTTTGGGAGCATTTTGGAGCTGAGAGCTGCCCTGTCCCTGGACTGTGGCTCGCTTGTGAACGTAGTGAAGTGCGAATAGGATACAAAGTAATAATAGCATTGTCACCTCCAGTTCGGCCCTTCACATTCACCACACACCCCATTGCTGTGGGCCGCTGTAAGAGGCGTAGCAAGCCCCAAAACCGACTCTCCTATACAACTTGTGGCTTCTTTCCCAGTGTCTTGCAACTGTTGGGACAAAGGTGCCCATCTTCCCTGGACAAATCCCAGGGCCATCGAGAACCCTGGTCTGACTTGCTGTTTGACATCGAGCAAGTCACTTTGCCTTTGACCCCGTTCCTCCCCCAGCCCTCCCAAAAAAGACCTGCACACAGAGGTGACCCTCGTGCCTGGATTTTTCCTCCCAGTAGAGGGAGTGCTCAGCAGCCTCCATGCAAAGTCGCATGCTCCCATCCTCGAGATCTCTCTGCAGCTTCGCGCTGGGAGTGGGGACAGATCAGGGGGGTGATGAGAGGAAGGGACAGGCTGGGGTGGGCAGGTTTTCCTGCTGGAGTTCAATCAGAACAGCCTGGGTCTGTTCTGTTTTCCGAGGCGCTGTTGCTCCTGGGGCCCTATGGGCAGTGGTCCCCATGCTGGGTGCTGTCGAAAGCTCGGGAGCTGTCCCTTTGGCTGCTCAGACCCAAGCCAGCAGAACATCCGTGTGACGCTCCCCCTGAGTGCTGGAGCTGCGGTTCTGAGGCTCTTGGGCTGTGGTGTTGGGGGCCCTGATCTTGCGGTGTTCAGGGCCACCTGTGTTTCATCATAACGGTGAAGCAGGAATTCTGAGCCGCACAGGGTAAAAGGAATGGGGCTGGTAGACAGCCCAGGGGAATGGAGGCCCCTGTTTGTTCTTGGGGCAGGGTAAGATTTCTCCCACGGTGCCCCGCTACCTGAGCTGCAGGGTTGAGAGAGGAGCCCAGCCTGCAAGACTCAATAAAGCATGTGGGCAGGGGAGGGGCTGGCCCATCCTGGCTCCCCTCTGGTGAAACAGGAGCCAAGTTTGGGAGAAACTGACCTTCCGATGCCACGGCTGGGGCAGGGAGCCCAGAACGGCCCGGCAGTGGAGATGGTGTTGAAAGAGCCCTGGGACCTGCCATGATGAGCGACGTCTCCGCTCCAGTGACCGTGATAAATGCGCCCTTCGCACAGGTGGTTTTGACAACCATTGATGATGATTTATGGCGCTGATCTGAGCTGGGGGGTTGCGCCGGTGGTTGTTGCTGAACCTAGACCAGAAGGGGAAGCAGCTTGTCTGGCTGGCTTGCCTGGGCTGAGTGGAAATCGCTGTGGGCAGGTACCAGCTGGGGCCCCTGCTTACAGATATGGGACACCTCTCCCCCTAGGTATGGGCCTTAGCTGATAAAATCAGCAAGGTCGTGGCTGATGGCATTCCATATCCCATAAACCACCAAAGGCTGCTGTGGCTTGGTTCTGCTCTACCAGCACTGTCTGTCTCTCCCAAGCTGTGTGGGGCTGAGAGGCATTTCCCACATGCTAGCTGGGTGGCTTGATCCCAGCTGACTTAGAATTCTGGGCTGGTACCCAGATGCTCAATAGCATGGAGATCGGGATCTGTGCATCGGTGGAAGAGCGATGGTGCCCTCTGTTGACCGCTGGGGTTCGGTGCCTCTGATCTGCTTCCCTGTTCTCTCACAAGGGTAAATATGACGAGGAGATCGAGGTATATAAGCACCACTTGGAGCAGACCTACAAGCTGTGCCGCCCGTGCCAGGCCGCTGTGGAATATTACATCAAGCACCAGAACCGGCAGCTCCGGGCGCTGCTGCTGAGCCACCACTTCAAACGCCGGGAGACCGACAAGCCCTATATGCAGGTACGTGGCCGCGGGTGGCAGGGTGAGTGGCGAGGAGAGCAGTGCAGTGAACCAGGCACGTCGGCATCAGCCCCAGGAGCGGGGCTGGAAATGAGTGTGTCTGCTCGGGTAGCTCTGATGGGTTCAGCTTTCGAGTTGAGTGGGATGATGGGATCACATTTGGCTTAAGTTGGGCACGGGGCTAACCTCTGGTTTTGGGCCGAATTTGATGTTGCAGCTGTAAATAAATCAAGAGGGGTGAATAACGGTGAGTTCTCCGTGATCACAGTCCCCTGCCAGTTTGTCCAGCTGATGATGCCCTAGATGTCTGCCCAGATCTGTCTCAGTATAATTCTCCCTCTCGGGCCCTGATGAGCTGGTCTCTAATGTTTGGCATTGGGTTTGTGCCAGGCTGGGGGATTGCAACACCCTTCACTGTGCGACGCTTGCATCTTACTGGGATGATGTATGAACTGGAAGGAGAGAGGGAGGGAGGGGTGGAGCAGGGGTGGGAAGAACCAACTTGCCCTGTGGCATGGGAACTGTGAAATATAGGGAAGCAAATGTGGGACTGAGCAAGGGGTGGGAGTGATAACTTGAGGGATGGGCCCTTCTCCTACAATCCCCTGCTATTCCAGTCCTGGGCTCCCCCCCCAACTGCAGTGCCGATACCCCTCTCTGTTGACCTGCAGCCCCTTACTATTCTAGTCCTGTACAGGGGCTGGCAGTTAGGCCAAGTTGCTCAGTAAGTCGATATGATGTAGAAATGTTTAGTTGGCACCAGTCTGAGGATCCTCCCCCACCCCCCCAACTTATTTTGCTTGTGACCAGAGATATTTCTCCTTCCTCTTTGCAGAGCTTTTGCTCCTCCTCTTCCTCCTCCTCCATGAGCACCCCGACTCAGGTGATAATTCTGCGGTTCCTGACCTTCCTCAGCTGTGCGTTCCTTGTCCTGATGGCCTCGTATGGGTCAGGTGACCCCTTCTCACTCAAAGGCACGGCCCCTGCTCCTATGGAATCTGGCCCCACTGCCATCAGGAATGGGACTGGAGCGAGCCCAGCAGCGGCCTCGGAGAATCGCACTCTCCTGGGAGTTGCAGGCTGGTGGGAGCTGCTCCACCTGCTGCCGGAGCAAATGGTGAAGAACTTGAGTGTTGCTTGGACCTACGGGAGGAACCATCAGATTGCGGTCGTCGTCCTCGGGCTGGTCACCTGCCTGTTAGCCATGCTCCTGGCCGGACGGATCAGGTGGGTCTCCTGTCTGCTTTCTGTGTCCATCTGGGGGCTTCTTGAGATCCCGACGGGGGGGGGCTGATTGTCTGCACTCTCTCAGCAGGGGGCTCTGGTTTTGTTCTGCCCTCTTGATCCTTGGCTCAGCACAGGGCTGGGAATGCAGCAATTGGCAGCACTGGCCTCTTGTCCCCTTGCAGTGCTCACAAGCCATCCCCCAAGCCAGCTGAACTGGGAGACCTGGGTTCTAGTCCTGCCTCTGTCTTGGGCACTAAGTGAGCCTCTCTGTGCCTAGAGTGATGCCTACCCGCCTGTCGGATTAAAAGGCCTCTGTATGTTGTTATGAGTGGTGGTGGTCTCCCATACAGTGCTCGGGTTGTGGAAGAGGATTCTTGGGATGCTATTGAGGTTGCAAAGGACCCTCTGAAAGATCTAGATTGTGGGCGAGGGGGGAAATTCTTAGATAATCCCATTATAACCATGGCCTGAATTACCAAGGATGGTCAAATCTCTTCGTTTTACTGTAGTCTAATGAATGGAGCAGTAACTTATCAAGGCAGGTTGGGGGGCCCTGCAGATGACAGAACTTATTGGGAGGTGGCCTGTAGCCTGCTTCAGTCTGTTCATCCCAGGCTGCCACCTACTTCGCCCCTCAGCGCCTCCCTCCGGGGCCGTTCCTGGCTTGGCTCTGGGTGGCTGGTTTGTAGGCTTGTTGCTCTGACGCGCAGCCTCATTTTTTGGCATTCCAGGCTGCGGAGAATCGATGCCTTCGCCTCAGTCCTGTGGCTCCTGGTGATGGGTTTGCACTTGGCTGAAAAGTACCTGAAGGCGGACACACCCAGCTGGCTGGACACGGCCAAATTCGGCACCACATCCCTGTGCTGCCTGGTGGGCTTTACTGCAGCAGTGGCCACGCGAAAGTCAACGGGCCAACGGAGATACCGGCCCCGAAGGTCAGAGCCAGAGCAGTGACCCTGGGGGAAGGAGGAAAAAAGCCGTGCGAACTCTGTGCGACTGGTGCTTCTCTCTCCTCTTTATTTTTCCCCTCTTTTTCTTTCTATTTTTTCCCCTAGAAGCGCAGTGAAGACTTTTCCTCCTTTTTCCACTCTCGCTTCCCACCAAGCCAGCTGCTCATAGTGTTTCTGCCGCCTCCGTTAGCCAAGGAAGCCGCTTCTGCCGCCTCCATTCTCCCTCCTCCAGAAACCTCCGCCAGTGGTGCAAACACCAACCCCTGCGCAACCCCAGAGCCAAATCTTCCACCAGCTGCTTCACAGACTGCTCCATAAATGCAGCCTCATCCCCATTCTGCTCCTCCAGCCAAAGAGATTCTGGCTGCTTCTGTCCTTCCGGCTCTGCTCACTGCGTGTCCATCCCTAGCTAGTCATGGAGGGATACTCTGCCCTGAGCCTCCCAAGGGCTATGCCACGTTGTCTCCTAATGGTGCTGATCATTTTTAGTTTACACTGACGGGAATGCACTCCTGGGTTCATTTTAACCTCTCTGTACTCACACTGCATGGCTGATCCTTAATGGGGAGGGGGATGAGACACGCTTGTTAAATAACCTGCTTCCACTCACCCTCCATTGTGTAGCCTCACCTAACCGCATGTCCTTTTGCTGTGCTCTGGCTTCTACTCTGAATAGGAAGAGCTCCTTGGGTGCTTTTTTACTGGAACTATTAATAACTTGAAAACAGAGGTGCTTTTAAAGATTATTTAACTCAGGGTATCTTGACTGGTGCAAAATCTTCAGCTGTTTAAAAATTTTATCTCCAAATTTCTGGGGGGGGGGTTGTAAAGAAGATCTAAATGTAAGCACAATTTTTATTCATTAAAGAGTTCTCTGCTCCTGTAGCCTTAGCAGTGGAGGAGGACATGCTAGGCCACAAATCACAACTAGGAGGCGCTGTGCGGTACAGTCAGTCTTCCAGCATACATAACCATAAGCCTTACTCCATTCAGTGTCTTCTTTTGTATTCAAGACATCTGAGTTCAGGACATCTGATGGGAGGAAGTGCCAGAGAGGTGGAATCCAGGGGGATGGTTACTAATTCGATGGGACTTCATGAAAACAGATCTGGATTAGCTGGTGTTACCTAAAGGAAAGTGCTTAGGTTTTTTGGAGTTGTGGCAGTTGGGAGGTAGGGGAGGGGTTAACCATGCCAAAAAAACGAGCCCATTAAATGTCATCTGCTGCATTCTTTCCAGTAGGGTCACAATGAAATCTTGAGAACCAAATGCTGAGGGGCGTTGGGGAAGGGAGGATCTTTCTCTTGGCTGAGTGTTTCAAGGAGGAAAAATTTGGGCACCCACCACGGGTTAGATGGTCTGATCTGGGTTCCCCTGCATTTGGTTATGTAGGACACAGGCCTTGCAGCAAAAGGTGGACTCTAAAAGGGAAACTTCAACATTACCTAAAATTCTACTTACTTCCTACTTTTGCATTGTATTTATGAAACAGCCCAGGGAGCTGCCATCCTGACAGTAGATTAAATGGTCTTCTGCTTTACCCTGTGTTTGTTTGCTGAGCTATCTCCCCTCTTGTGCTCTCAATCAGAATGGAGCTCCTGCTAGAAAGAATCTGCGTCTCCCACCGAGGAAGTCAATGGTGCTACTTGGAGTGAGAGAAATGATGAAATAGAAGGGAATATCTGAAAGCTAGAGGTTTTTTAAAACAATTTTTCATGTCTCTTTAACTATTCACTGCAGTTCCGCTTGTAACCACTCTTCACCAAGATAGCGGAGTTGTAATGCTGAGCTGGTCTGATGAAATCTCCAGTAAGAGCAAACCAAGTCAGCTGGCTGCAGGCTGGAATGTACAGCCATTCTCTTTCCTATAGAAACAGCAGTGCGACTGTAACTTGGGCAGCTGTCACAGCAACTCCTGTAACCATGTCTGGCAACTGTTCCAGGAAGCCCATGCACAGAGCCTGACCATGTAGCTTTACCTTAAGATCTCTCTTGTTGAGAATTTTTGCTGGGCTCTTCAGGTAACGTTACTATCCAAATCCCTTCTCTGCCCTCAAACAAACACCCCCTGCTCTTCCCCCACCCCACCCCCCAAACACACACACATACAACTTTGGTGCTCGTGAAAGGCGCTGCTCTGGAGAATCAAGACCTACTTATCCACAGTAGCCCCAGCATTTGCAAAGGCAAGCTTCTCCCCACTGCTCTGCCAGCCTTGCTCAACCCTGACCTATAGGGGCACCTGCCAGGGTGAGAGCCTCGCTTTCTATTACTGGTTTGACTCTTGGGCTCTCTGAGATTGCCATACAGGGCTTCAGTTGTGATGGGGGACACAATCCTTTGCATTAAAGGGCTTCTTTTTAAAAGCAAATGCTGCAAGGCATCACATGGGCTCCTGGCAGGAGAAGAAAGGAGTGAAGAAGTTTGCCCACAGTCATCATCTTGTGTCACCCCCTCAAGCCGGAGATTCCCAGAGACATGGTGATTTCTCTTTTTGCGCCTTCTCCTTCCAAAATGGAATTGTAGCGGGAGGGAATTTGATCTAAGAAGCGGAACAGGCCACATGTCTGCTCACATGTCCTTTATGAATGTGGTACAGTCCCTAGTCTTTGACATGGACATCTAACAAAGTGGTCATTCGCAATGAGTGCCGGTGCTTGGTGACTTACAGGCCAACTGGTTGCCTAATAAATCCTTGCAAATGCATCAGTAACTATAGCTATATTGACCATCAGAACTGTCTTGGGTAAAACCATATAATAAATTAACTGGCAGTTGAGCCAGATCTGACTCCGGTTCACTCCGTCCACAGCTAAGCTGCATAAAAATGCAAGTCCTGTTGAGCTGAGTATCCAGTATTTTGCTTTTCTGTTTCCCTGCTTGGAAGTTTTTCAGTCTCCAGCAAAGTCTATATGGTACGAGAGCCAAGTTTTCACTCCGCTGCGTTGCCGCGTTAGCTGGCTAGAGACCCACAGCCTCTGTCCTTGCCTTGCTGAAAGGTTCCTTCTAGCCTTGTGAACTTGCTCATTTCATCTTGTGAGGCCTCTCTGAACCAGAGGACCTACCGGTTCTCAGATTTCCTCTTTAACAAGCTGCCAAGGAATAATCTCCCCTCTTCATTGCTCATGTCTATCATCTCGTGGTCACGTCTGGATCTCTGATGACACCAGCGGGTTTTGGTAGACTTGCCGGGTGTCCGTCTGTGAGCTCTTTGCATGAGCGGCATCACTTTTGCCTCAAGGCTCCAGCAGCTTTGCAAATGCACTTCTACTCATCTGTTCTCTAAAGCTTCTTGCGTTCAACTCAGACTTCTGTTCTTCAGCCCACAGCAGTCTCCAGTTCTACAGGCACCTAAAGGAGGTTGCTCTGGCACTCTTGTCTCTAGCTGTCTGCAGCTTCCGGGTCATTTGCGCCTGAACACCTCGATCAGGGCTAGCGAATAATGGGTGCTTCGTGCCCAAACAAGCACATGGTACTGGCATTAAGATACTGTTGTTCATGGTGGAGGAGGGGGTTGTGCATGGCCTGCCCTTTATCCTAGTAAGGTCTGTAGCTCAGGGGAGGCCGGCATAGTGGGTAGCCATCACGTGTGTGTGTGTGTGTGCAGAGGGGAACAGGGCAAGGGGGAGGAACCTTTTGAGACGAGTGCAGAACAAGGTGGTCAGTGAGGAAAGCACTGTAGCTTGCAGGGTAAAGAGCTAATCCCACCTGCTCATTTGCAGTGTCCCCGTTCTTTCTCATCCTCCACAGTATACCAGGGCTCCTCCGCTGGGTTTGCAGAGGACTGGCAGGTCAAGGATCAGATCATTTACCTGTGTGTGTTTCTGCCGGTTCCTAAGAGGGCTAGTGCTGCACGGAGCACTGTGCTCAGGACAGTGGCCTGGGCTCGGTTTCTCCTTGGTGTCAGTGAGCGCCTGGTATGGAATTGATCCCCTGGTGGTTTTGCCAATCACGCTGGCTGTGACTGCACAGCCATTAACAGTTCTTCACTCTAGGTTGCTTGTCCCTCTCTGGCATCCCTATGTAACCACAGGGCGCGCTGTGCATGGCAGATGTGTAGCTGTCCAAAGGATGCTGGCACAGAGTCAGGTGGAAGCGGGTGCTGGGGAAAGACTGTGATGTGGGGAACCTCGTGCTAAGGGAACGCATCAAATCCGTTCCAGGAAAGAGGGCTGTGAGCTCTTGCCAGGGCATCCAGTTCAAGAGCTAATAAAGTCCTTGTGGGAGTTCACACTGGCCCCATGTGAGCTGAAAGGCTCCATGGCTAATGATACACCAAGTACCTGCTAGGATGGAGTCTTACCTATTTTGAGCCCATCCCAGGATTGCGATGCCGATCAAACCTATTGCTGAGCCATCAGCCACAGCAGCTGATCCAGACCACGGCAGGGCAAAGGCCTCTTCAGTGCTGCTGCAATCTGTATTGCACTGCTGCTTGCAGCTCTCTGAAGGGTGGAAGTTCTTTTGCCCACCCATCCGTGCCTGTTCCCTTAGGGGAATTGTCTTCTCTGGTGCTGCTTCGAGCGCCTCCTCTGTCCAGGAGCCTGCCACGCTGCCAGTGGGAGCAGGGAAAGTGGCTGAGGCTGTTCTGACCTTCTAGGTCTCACTCCAAGGATCAGCCTGGCTGACTCCCCAGCTGGCAAGAAGATGCTCAACCGCAGCTCAAGCAGCAGTCCTTTGAGAACCGTTTGACCCATTTTCTTCCTGGCGCCCAAAGGTTCGGCGGTGGTTTTCCAGCTGAGGTTTCGCTTGGGCCTCGGTCACGTGGCAGGCTTCTTGCCCTCTTCCCTTCCCTTTGACGGTGCCCTTGTTTCTAACTGTTTAGATGTGTCCTGCCTCTAGCCACTATAGGTCTCTGGCACCTTTTCTAAAGAAACTTACCCCAGCTTGCTGGCCGTGTTATGTCGCCTGGCATCCAGTGTGCTTGGTCTCTAGCCCCATTCTCTTTCCGCCGATACGCTGCTGTGGGGGTGGACGAGGGTGCA